TAAACATTTGCATTCTCTAAACAAAATTTTAAAGCTCCAATAAGTGTTTCAGTTCAGCCTGGCTCCAGTGTAGCAGTGGGCTTTTCAATTTAGCAAAACTGTAAAATGACAACAGGGTAATTCTGGTGAACTAACCAACTTGTTAAAAAGAGATACTACTTGCACTTTCTTTGGGAAATGGTAGCTTCTAGTTTTATCAAAACACTATTTTCTGTGATGTAAAGGGGTTTTTCTTTTATTTCCTCCTATCTTTTCTCATGAACTCATAATATAAAAAACACATATCAGGCACTTCAGAGGGATTTGGGAGTAAAGAAGAGTTTGTATATTAAGGAACATTTGCTTCTGAGTTTCATTTTTCTCTATTAGTACTGTTTAGATTAGAAGCAGTATGGATCACAAACAGAGAACAACTCTCTCCCTCTTTTCCCCAGCCTCATGTCTACCCCTTAAATACATACCTTTCTTTACGTGAAGAATTTCTATTTGTCTTTCAAGGAACAGTTCTAATAATTCCTTCATGTTGAGGGTGTCAGTAACTTCCTTCCATGTCTCTCCTACCCAGTCACTTATTTTTCTGTTCACACTATGTTTTCTATATTTTACTACTTACCATTTTTGTGAGTTGTTTACATATATTTCCTCTGGATCCTGAGATTCTCGAGGGCAAAGACCATGGTTTTTTTTTTTAATGTTCAGTACATTATATTCAGCATACAATAAATGAATAAATTGGTGACAAACTGAGTAAATGAGTTGGAGTTTGTTGCTTAATGAACAGGAAAAGAGATAGAATTGACAAAAGGGTCTCTGTGGTAAAAATATTCTCGGGTAAACATTGGGTTAAAGAGGATTCTGCTCTGCAGGGTTTCTCAGTGCTTTAATGTGCACTGTCATTCTCCAATGCCATCATCATCCCCCTCAACACTGCCCTTGACTTTTATTTGTTCCAACCAAGCAGCAACTAAATGAAAGAGTAAAACAGACATCTCTCACACGTCATCTGTAAGTCAGGGCCCCAAATATCTCACTCATTCAGTTCATCAGAAATTCAGTGAAGAACACCCACCAAGATGGAAACTCGTCATCCACTAGCAAAGTACAACCCACCTAAGGCTGAGCCCAGCCCCTACTGCTGGGGATGGAAAATGGGAAACAGTTTTAACATAGTTAACCCATCATGGAAAATGTCTTCTGAGCTACCAGTCACCTCTTCCCATTTAAAGGCCAGCAGCGGGATTTCTGCTGGAGACATGGCCATTTTCCCCATAAAACATTAGAAAGTTGCCAAGTCATAACATTTTTGAAACCAAAGTTCTTGGGAATCCAGTTGTTCTTGGACCCCTGGCTTATTTCCTATCAGTCAAGCTAAGGATCCAGAATGTTTGGTTTTCTTGATCAAAGACCAGCAGCACTTCTTATGCCTTAATTCTCTTTGTTTCCTTAATACTTTCCCCCCAAATCTTGCAGGTCTTGAGAAGAATTTGGACCAGCTCATACAGCTGTTCTACTAATTAATTCACAGGACATTACCATTAGAGAAATTTAAAGGACCCTTGGCTATAAACAATTTTGAAAATCACTGTACTGACTAATGCATTTTGAAGGAAAAAATATGTAATATCTCAATAAATACAAATAAATAAATCTTGAGGAAACAGATTGGTCTACTTTCATTTTGTAATGTAAGTTTTATTCTGAACAGGAAATTTAAATACAAATAGCTAATTTAAAAATTCAATAATAGTCCCTAATATAAAATTATCTTTGGCTTGACAGGTATTTTACATTTGTGTATTTTTATTTTTAAAAAATAATATTCTAAGTAGGGAACTAAGATTATTAATGTTAAGCCTCATAAAATGGTTAAAATGTACACAAAAGGTGAAATTCCCTCCCAGAATTATCAAAATCTGAAGTTCAAACTTCTTGAGAGACAGCGTGTAGTTGGAATGGGCATTGGCTCTATGATGTGATTTTATCAGCTGAAAAGGACAATATGAGCTTGGTCCTATTATCTCCCCAATAGTTGCTGAAACCAGAGGTTTCTCTCCATTTAATCCATTCCATTGAGTCATGAAAAAAGGAGATGGATCGTTGAGTCCAGAATGTCACCATTGTGTCCTCCTCTCACCCACCAACCAGTCTGTGCTCCTCTCTTCTTTATATTTTTCTGTCTTCCAATCAGTTTTGAGCTCCTGGAGACCAAGAACCAAGAACTATACTTGGTACATAGAAGAAAATCTACCATTAATTGTTAAAGGGATAAGGGGAGTAAGGGTACGTAAATCATAATATAGTCCTTCTATGTGATAGACACAATGCAGCCATTGAAAATATCATTTCCAAAGGGGTCCATGTTGTTGAAAAAAGATCAAAATATTCCTTAAAAAAAAAAAAAACAGTGGGTATAGCAGATCCAAGTTTAGAGAAATAAGACTAATTAACAAGGATAGATTCATAGGGTGGTGATGACATGGCTACAGTAAAACCCCAGTTTTTACTGTAAAACTTATAGCTTCACATGGCATTTGTGGTTGGATAAGTTTATATGAGTGTGTTTCATATTTTATTTACATTAACTATTTAGTAAAGTATACATATTTCTTATTCTATTGTAGGTGTCTGGGCATTCTCATACTTTTCCTTGTCTTTATGCAGGCTGAAGTTAAAAAAAAAAACAAAAAACATTTCTTCTGCCACTGTAAAGGCACATAGGGGATTCAGGTGAACCTCGAACAATAGTTTCACCGAACGCTCTGGTGCCCAGAGCAGACATGACAGGTAGGCAGCAGCCCTTTTAGAACATTAATCTCAATAATGCTGTAACTCTTGGTTGGATGAGTGGCACGTTACAAGAGACCACTTTTGATCCACCTAAAATTAGGTCTTAGGAGTTCAAAAGAGGGAGAAGGAAAGGGGGAGGAGAAGAAAATATCTATTAACGAGCATTAAATATTACTTTTCCCTTTCCAGTCTCTCAGCAGAAAGCCTAAGAACATCTGATTTTCTGTTATAAAGGAAAACCTCTGAGTAATATAGCCCGCACATAATCTCATACTTAGCACCATGTTCTGACAGAAATACAAAAACTAAGTGATTGAATACTTCAAAATAGCTTCCTTCTTTTTTCTTCCAAAAACGACTCAAAAACACCGTTTGCATGGAAAATACTGACCATACCCAATGACGGTCCCTGGAATGTAAGAGTTCAGTAGGATTCTAGAGCATTCTAGATTTCAAGCAACAGAACCTGCTAATATTGTTCTCTTTCCCCTTTGTCTAATTCTCACTCGACTTTGCCACTCATGGAATTTTCTTTCATTGTTTATAAAATCGCTCTGTCCTTACTGAAGTGTAGAATTAGAGATTTTGCTATAGAGGGTAGCACTATATGTACAGTGGATAATTATCTTTTATCTGAGAACGGCTTGGTCGTTTTTAGGGAATATAGACTTTTACAGTTAGTTGAGTGTAACTCTTTTTCAGCTTAAATACACATAGAGAAAGAATCCCCTTCAGTTCCTTCCCTTCTTCCATACTTCCTCCTTTCTTTTCTTTCCAGGATGTTCCTTTTGGCTCAACAGTCACTATTAGCAGAGAGATATAGGCATCTAGACCTTGGATTTCATGACTGTGTTCTCTCTCCAGCGCTGCCTTAGATGCCTTCTGGCAGCAGTTGATGTACTTAGAATAGAAGGCTCTCTAGGCAAAAGCATATTCAGCTAGTTGTAAAGTTCTTCTGAAAAGGGGGAAATAAGAAAATATGATTTTTGAGACTTAGAGTGAGAATTTTATCTGGCATCATTTTGTTTATAAACCATTTTTATTCTCAATTAGTCTCAATTTTAATGGTGCTTGTTCACCTTTATTTGCTTCTAGAGGGCAGTTGGTCCTTTTACTTATATTAAAGCTATACTGACTTTCAGATCTTCTGCTTGAGTCGATAGCCTCTCAATTAGATGGAACTATCCCCGAACAAAGCACGACAAATTCGGCTTCTTACTTTGAAATCCTTCTCTTTTATCATCATCAATGCCTAAATTATAGCCTCTAACTGTACCTACTCAGACTCCAATTATATTACATAAATGCCTACATAGTGTCATATCTTTCACGACATGTTATTTCTGTAATAATGTCCATCTCTTCAGCTCTTAGCCATAGTGAAAGGGCAATATAATCCAAAAGAGAGTGTCTGGTGTGTGTGTTAATCATTAATAAATCTGAAAAACATGTGTTTGATCAAGGCCATCTTTTCCCTTTGAGTAATTCTTTTCTTTTTTTTTTTAACATCAGCAAGTTCTTCTGAAATTCATGATTGTCTCTGTGAAAGCTCTAAATAACCGGTGCTGATTTCAAAACAGCCACTGGCCAATACTTTGTTACTTATAGTAAACCCCTAGTTGGCATTTGCGTTGATAATCAATCTTTGTTTGTTGCTTAAACCATTCAAAATTCCTCCGATATTTATGATTTCATTAAGTAGAAGATGCTGCATGCAAATAAGTACACTTCAGTTACAGAAAGCAGCCGTCAGAACACATTTATATTCCAGCAGCAGAGAAGAAATTAATCTCACAGTGGCTTCAATTCAAATTGGTATGATATTCCAGTAATAAATTCCCTGCCCAGATGGAAACATTTTCTTTATCATAAATATTTTAAAACACTTGATCTGTGTTAAAGTTGTACAGGACTGAAACTGATTTTAGATATTTTAAATATTTTAAATCAAGCCCCAAATAGAAAAAACATTTTGGTTTTGTAGAATCCATTTAAAAATGTTTTCAAATTTTATATAGGTTCATCCTATCATATACATTATGTAACCAAAGAGAAAAGCTCATCAAATGCTAATCTTTGGTGCACCCAAAGAAAGCTCACATCTCTAGCTTGTATTAATTATATTTCTGTCATATGTTTTAATGACACTAGTCATTCCTTTAATATTGAAATAAATTCTGAAACTAGCTCTTACTCTTTTCCTTCACTTATAGGATGATTTGTGGAAGAAGAGGAGGGAGCAATGATCACAGAATGTAAATGCTAAGAAACTGAGGTCCAGAGCCACAGAGTGCCTTCTGCAAAGTAAGCAAAGCAGTTAATGGGGCTGGGACAGTAACACCCAATACTTGATGCAGGGAATAGTGTGCTTTTCAATACTTTTTGCAATTTTAAGCAGCTGGTTCTGGTATAGTTATTTGTGTGTGTGAGTGTGACAATTCCCAATTCCTCCAACCTGTTACGTTGTGAGTCACTCCAGCCGCAAGTCTCCCAAGAGGATCATGAGACAGTAGAGGACATGCAGGTCCATAGAAATGACTTTATACTCTTCAGCTTCCCTAGAATATGAATCGAGAGTTAGGCATTTTGAGAGACTCTGCTTCTAACTCTAGCCATCACTGGAGTAGATCTTCTTCTCATCTAGACTGCTTAGAGATTAGTGGCCCCTCATAAATCACCACAGTTCCATCTTTCTTCTGAACCAATACTCTGAAATCCTCCAGGTGGTAGGTAGCCCAGAGGAGAAACACAACCCCTAAGGGTGGGTTTGTATCTTTGGAATCCTCTCTGGACCTTGACTCTCAAGCCGAGGGGACATGTAGGTCTGGACTTCACAGTCCACTCTAACATTCAGATGTCTGAATTTAGAAGAGTTGATGGGATCACCATAGCCATGTTGGTCAAATAGTGACTTTCTTGAAGCTGGATGTTACTAACTTCCCAATCGCGACTGCTCTCCTCCAACTGAAATACAGCAAGTTTTATCACTGAAGAATACACCAAAAGCCAAACAGTAGAGTTCAAACTCTGAATTCAACCTTGAAACATCAGCTCCAAAATAAGATCCTTGCTGAATACCACACAAAAGGAGAAATGAGCTGAGCGTAGATTAACACAATGAGAAATGGACAGGAATTTACCAAACAACTCTTCCTTACCGTGGATTAAAAACAAATTGATATTTCACTTGCTGATTCAGACTACATCTAGCCCACATCTCACATTACAGGATATTCATTGGCAAAACTGAAGACTGGAATATGCAGCCAAATTTGGAAAATGATACCAGATTCCTTAAAGAGCTGAGTCAAAGTTCTATGTTTTTCAGATTATAAACTATTAGGAAGGACAGGCTCTATCAGATAAACCCACTTGTATAAGACCTACACCAGTTTATATTTATTGATGTTTAAAGACTTTTAGACAGTTGGAGACTGGGTGGCAGGATTTCTGGATCTTAGTCTTTGCTCTGATTTGGCTGGGTGTACCATTGGCCAAGTTACTTTGCCTCTCAGGGATTTGATTACTTCATCCGGAAAAACAAAGGTCTGTAATGAATTCATTTGTCCAATGCCTATCTCAGAGCACTGATTACCTGTCTGGCTATTCACACACTGCAGAATTGTGTGAGGAAGAAAAGACATCATTTGCAGGAAAGCCTTTTAAGAAGCAGGAATCATTGAATGAAAAAACTATGTTATCAAAATTATCTATCCTCTGCTAAAAAGATCCCCAGAGGAAAGAAGGCCTAAATATTGGGTAGGCCATATAGGAACCAAAAACGCATTCCCCAAATAATGGACTTATAGATAAATACAGACATTTACAGAAACCTGGATAAATGTTTGTTCTTCAAATCCAAAGTTCAGACTGAAATTTGTGCTGATTCTCCAAATGTGTAATGATACATGTTATCATGTCTCGATAGTCTATTGTGTGTCAGGTAAAAGACAAGTTCTTTACGTATGTTCTCACATTGAATTTTCATTTTTAGCCCAGTCCTATTAAGTAGATATTATTATTTTCAATTACAGATAAGGATATTGAGGCACAGAGAAACTAGCTGTTTGCCTGGAGTCCCACCCCTAGAAAGTAGCAGAACTGGGATTTAAACCCCCAACAGTTAGACTATAAAACCACAGCCTTATCTACTATACTGCGTGGCACGGAGCTGAAAAGAGACAACTATAATGGAATTACTATAATTTCAAGGGTCAATAGGGGACCCCTAGTCAAAAGGCTTTGTTATTGAGAGGTCAATAGTTGACCAAAAAAAAGGTCTTTCTACTTCACTCCTATTCCCTTTGTTCATCTGCGGGATAATAGGAGAACATTGAAATCCATGTTTTGCTCAGAAATTGAGTATTATCCACGTAAGTACTGTCAAGGAGAACCCTACTTTAAACTTTCTGCCGCTTTGCTCAAGAATAAAGGTTTTCAAGGACAAATATTGTTGCAGATTGTAACTTGACAGTGAATGTCCTGAAACTCTGCATAGTCATATTTGAAAGGAAGCCAAATTTATGAAAAAAAAATGTCCACTTCAAAAGCTTAATGAAGGCAATTTGTCAACAATTTCACACATCATTTGCCCACAACCTCTGAATAAAAGGTTTCCCAATTTACCTTTTTCCCACGTGAACTTCGGATCATATGCATTTAATGATTCATCAATCATCATCTTTCCCAGAAACTGAGATGCAAGCAGAATACAATCGAAGAGGTCTGTTAAAATATATTGTATGTGATACGCTTATTGTTTACATTTCTTTTTTTACCTAATGTCAGAGAATCGTACATGGAATGACATGAGTCTTTAAGATCAGAGTCTGGTTTAAGACTTAGGGTGAATTTGCTATATAACAGATTAAAACAACTTAACTTACCTTAGAACGTCTATATCTCAGACTTCTAAATATTCTGTAGAGAATTAGAGAGAGGAAAGGAGAAAAACAGCTATAGATGAATGAATATGACTTACAAGAGAACAAGCAAAGTCTCCCCATGGCACTGATTCTTTAAATAATTAACAAGAAACTCTTTGCAAAGGGACCTACTTGTCAAATAACTAACTTAAAACCTGTTACTGTTGATTGTCAGCATGCTTTTGTAACCAAAACGCCTGAGGGATAAGTTGATGGAAAGTAATTAATAAGACCAAGAATAAGGTTTACTGCATGTAACTGATACTGTTTGTAAATCTGGGACTCATAAAGTATTGTTCTGATTGAGGAAGGAGATGCAGATGTTTCTGCTATTTTAGTAAAGGGAAGAAGTGTAAAACACTCCAACCAACAGAAAAAGGGGTGCAAAACATTTAGAGCTGCAATACTTACCATGGCAACTATTTTCTGTTACATTTTTAATGTAAGGTAAAACTTCCCTATTACGTACTTGGGCCGCCCATATATGGGACTCAAGTGTGACATCAACAATGGCAAATAAAGGTAGTTTTATAAGACAAGGTGAAATGTATGGTTGACCCAGATATCTAGATATTTTGTCAAAAAGAATTTTAATTGGAAAAATTGATGGAGGATTTGAGAAAATGTTGGAATAAATTATTCGGATAATTTTTGGCCTTCGATATACTTTTTCAGCATAAAGAAGAATTCTGTTTGCTAAACTCTTTGGGTCATGATGATTCATAGTACTCGTGGTGGAATTTGGTGTGTATTTGTGTGTGTGTCTCTGTGCACACATATTTATGTTTATGCTTGCAAGTACTTTGTCAGAATGAAATGTTTGGGCTACACTTACTACCCAACTGATTTTAATTAGTGTTACCAGATATTTACTGAAATCATCAAAGTTTTTAATTTAGAGATAATTTGGCAAAGGGCAATTTGCTGCTATTTACATTTAAATAGATGTGAAAAAATGCACTGATGTTTTCTCAGACAGACCCCAGGGCAGTTTCATGTTCAAGCTCTGGAAGACCTGCTCCCCTTGAATGTGGGAGGGACCTGTTACTTGCTTCCCACCAATAATATAGCAAAAGTGGTGAGATGTCACTCCATGCTTATATCAAGATACATACACACACACACACACACACACACACACACATGGCGTTGCCCTGGCACATCTGCATGTAAGGGTTTGTATCACAGAAATTCTCATCACAGAGTTACAAAAATCTACCTCTTTCCAGTGCTTTGGTTTTAAGCAGACCAACCATTGGGTCAAAATGAGGTACACAAAACAAGCTTTAAAAAGAAGAACGAAGTAGGAGGACCCACACTTCCCAATTTCAAAACTTATACTAAAGCAATGGTAATGAAGATGGTGTGGTACTCGCACCAGGATATACATGTAGGTTAATGGAACTGAGATTTCAGAAACGAGCCCACCTATCTATGGTGAACCGATTTTCAACAAGAATGCCAAGACCATCCAATTGGGAAAGAGTCAGCTTTTCAACAAATGGCACTGGATCAACTGAATAGTCATATGCAGAAGAGTAAAGTTGTGCCCCTACCTCACACCATATTAAAAACTCAAAATGTATCAAAGATTTAACTGTAAGAACTAAAACTATAAATCTTTTAGAAGAAATGGATAAATCTTCATGATGTTGGATTTGACCATTCTTGGATTCTTGGAGGATTCCTGGATATGATACCAAAAGCACAAGCAACAAAAGAAAAAAGAGATAAATTGGACTTCATCAAAATTAAAAGCCTTTGTGTTTCAGAAGACATCATCAGAAAGTGAAACAACAATCCACAGAATGAAAGAAATTATTTACAAATCATATCTTTGATAAAGGACTTGTATACAGAATATGTAAAGAACACTTAAAACTTAATAATGAAAAGACCTCTCAATTTAAAAATAGGCAAAAGATCTAAATAGACATTTCTCCAAGGAAAATACACACATGACCAATAACCACATAAGATGCTTGACATCATTAGTCATGAGGAAAATGCAAATCAAAATCACACATGAGATGCAACTTCATATCTTCTAGAGTGGCAAGATAAAAAAGGCAGACAAGAACAAGTATTGGCGATGATGTGGAAAAATCAGAACCCCCATACATTGTTGGCAGGAGCATAAAATGGTGCCATCACCTTGGGAAAAAGTCTGGCAGTTGCTCAAAAGTTTAAACTAGATGACCCACCAATTCCCCTCCTTAGGTATATATCCAAGAGAAATGATAATGTATGCCCACACAAAATCTTGTACAGAAATACTTAGAGCAGCATTATTCATAATAGCCAAAAGGTGGAAACAATCTAAATCTCAACAGACATAGATAAAATATGGTATATCCATACACTGGAATATTATTGAGC